TCTATTGATTAAAAACTCGGAATGAGTTTTAAAAATATTCTAACCATACCAGTATATCATTTCTTGTTAATATGGTGTGATGATGAAATATGTTATTTATTAATTATTTTACTATTAAAATAAAGTGACTCATTGCTCACTTCGACTTAGATTGCAGTACTAACAGGATCCAAGGTATGAGTATTTTTGTAAGGAAATGAAAAGTGAGTTTAATTTTAATCATTCATTTTAATCATTGAAGTCTTTTAAGTTGAATTCTAATTGTGAATAAACGACTTAAGGGTAAGGGTGTTAACTTACATGTGCGTCATCGGTGAATGCGGAAACAAAGGTATTTAATTAACTAGACATATCTGCTGTATATATTAGGTACTAAACTGATTCAAATAAGCTGTCTTATGGAAAATCTAAAGAAATTTTTTTTTAACGGAATACGGAATAACGTAAGTTTATATATAATACAAAAAATCTGCGAACATGTTAAGCTTTTTCTTCGTTTGTATAGTAATACTTCTTATGGATTTTAGTACGCTTATGGATTTCTATAATATTTTTCTGAGTAGTGGTGGGATTTAGTATTTCATAGATGGCTTTTTGGAAGAGTATGTCAATAATAAGGAACACTATTGAGTCTGTAGTATACAACCATAAACAAGGTATTCAGGAATTTCTAGATTTGCATGAACACAAATGATTATTTCTTAAGAAATAATTGCTTTAAGTCTTTTATTACATAAACATATTATATGTAAGTATATTTTATAAAAGCATAATATGATATACAAAACATTTAAGTTTGAGCAATCATAGCTGGTCATGAAATAAATAGGCATATTTCTAATCATTAGTTCCGTATTTTTTTTAGACCTTCTAATACATTTCTTACCCATAGTTCCGATATTACCCATAATACATTCTATTGGGTCACCTTAAACACAAAACCAAAACAATTATAAACAGCAACGTCTATATTTACTTAAGTGTTCTTGTTAAAGAACTATAAAGTTTTAAAAATATAACTATTTACTTGAAAGCATAAAGTTTTATGATAAAAAAAATGAAATTCGAATCGTCGGATGACTTTTTAAATCGATTGCCTCAGCAATCTCTTTATTCCTTATGTTTATTAAAGTGCAGTAATATAAACAAACACGTATCATTTTAAGGAGAAAAACTAAAAACAGAAATCATAACAATTAAAGAGAAAATAACAATGTATATGATATTATATCAGCATTGGAATGAATATAAAACGATGGATTAAAATGTTTGCACATTGTTAGATGAATCCGAACATATCGACTAAGAAATACATGCTATCCCTTATATATAGGGTTTATAGGGTTTAGATAATATCTATCTATCTAAGTGACTTGAAATTTATTCGCTTAGCATTTCGAAACGTATACGCACCAATTAATGGTATAAGGACTCTAATTTTGATCAGACATTATTGTCAAATGAATTAAGGTATATCACTAAATCGTTGTTATCGTTGTAATTTATGAATTTGAATTTTTATATTAAATAATTTCTGATCAAAATTTCATTAAGTACTTATAAGACTACCGTATTACAAGAAATCGAAGCGTGTATTAAAACAGTTAAAACAGTATAGTATGGATTTTTGATCAGAATTTTATTACGTACTTAAAACACTACAGTATAAGGAAATATCGGAACGTTACCTAAATCAGTTTGGTCAATACAGTACGAATGCTTTATTAACAGATCAGCAGATTTGTTTTCACTCGCCGTATCATAATAAATGATTATTCACCATTTAATTTCGATATTCCTTGCAATAAACATAGAAGTATGGATCTAATCCATGTAATTTGTAATTTAGATAAAATACCAGCCCATTCGTGCTTACCGATCAGCAGTCCAAAGCTTATGGACAATTCTTAAAATCAAGAATTTTAAGAAAACAATTCTTAATTATAAAGATTTTTTTATAAAAATTAAACGACAAATTCTGAGAAAATGTTCAAAAAATTTTATACATTAAAATGTAAGTATTAAACATTGTAGATATTTTCGAATACACCTAACTTAGAAAATAATTAATTAAAAATATTGGAATAAATAAGATAAATTCAAAAAATATGTTGTTGAGCTATGATCGTATTTTTTAAAAAAATTCCAAAATTTCCTTAACTGTAAACTTTTTAGCTTGTATGAAGTAAAATAATACAAGATAACAAACTTTTCTCTAAAGAAAATTTCACGAAAGAATATTATATATATATTGTCCAATTGTCCTAGAATATTAAATATAAAAACTGATGCTGGTGGTTCTTTTGATGTTAGCAAACTCATTTGAAATAATATAAAATTATAGAAGAACAAAATCGATAGATCGATAGATATAGGTAGATTTGGTAGATAGTTTTAATAGTTTTAAAAGTATATAGTTTTTGTATATAGCTATCTATTGTTTTGATTATAGTAAGTGAGTTTAAGCATTAAGTATATATATTTGTATTTAATGGTTTAATCAGGTTTTGCAATGTCACCATAATTTTTGAAAAATCTGTGTGTATATAATGTGTATAAAATTTTAATTATTTCCATATAGGTATGAAAAGGACATCTATACAATATACAATCATATGTGAATATCTTTAATCATATATTAATATCTTTAATCTACAAACGGTATATATTATGATATGTATTTGTATTTGATACAAATGAGACTCAACTGATTATAAGTATTTTATAGTTTTCACTAATACGTCCACGTCTTTGTATGGAACAATTTTCAGCTATAAAAGAAGAGTTTTGAGTGAAAACTAATGAGTTACTTTAACTAATGACTGCAGTTTAGACTGATTTCAGTGATATTCAATTCTTAGTGAAATTAAGTTCAGATTTGTGAAAAAAGTTTAGCTTTAAAAAGTTTTAATATCTACAAAATTATATCTAAATATTTAATAAAAAAAGTGTGGAGAATATTATGTTTGAATGAGAAATATGCATTTCATATATTTATATTTAGGATTTAATATAAATAAAAGTTAATTAATGCAATTAATATATAACATTTCAATACAAAATCATTAAGTAAGTGTAATTTAATTTTTAACTTAATAACCAGTGCAATCCTTTTTGAAGCTTAATTATATTATATATGCATGATGAAGTTCAATAATACGTCGGAAATCAAATCTTATCTTAATAGAAGAAACATAATTAAATTTAAAAAAATAATTTTAAATTTTTATTAAAATTTTGTGTCCAGGAAAATTTTACATATAAAAAATTATATAGATATTCAAAATCTTTATATAGAAAAGGATTCACTAAAATTGTTTGCTTTATTAAAATATTATAACAGCATATCTGTATTTCCTAATGCAGCAACTGGTCATATCGGTCCACGAGCTTTTTACAAACAATTAATTGTATTCTTCAACATAACATACTTCGTTTACTAATTATTGGTAACAAAATTAATTTACTAATTAATTACATTCATCCACATAACCTAATTCGCTTACTGATTATTGGTACACTAAATATCCTTTCATATGATGTCGAATATGTCTTTGTACTCAAATATGTTTAGAATGGTCATGGTTTTAAAATATATATTTTTTTTTTAAATTATTGATCATTTTTGCAAATATGCTAAACTCTTGTTATAAATTTTTCATATATAAAATTCATTTTTATTTAGTAATTTTCCTGTAAATATTCATTGAAGAAGTTTGAGCAAATCTGAATTTATTTGAACTTACGATTCAATTAAAAAATAGAGAGTTTTTTCTCTGAAAGAGCGTATTTATCTTATTATCTCAATCTTCATTTAATTAAGTTTTCAATGTGTGTATCTATCTCTTTTCAATTATTTGAGCTTTTAAAATATTCGTGTATTTAGGAGCGTCAGCAAGTCGTTCTCACGATAAAATCATGTGTAGTTTATAAATTGAGTGATATTCGAAAAGCTTGATCTTTTTTTATGCAGTAGACTGCATTTACTGGAAAAGATGTGTCTTTCCGATGGAGAAATGTTCTAATTAATCAAGCTGTTCCCAAGTGTTTCTATTTCGATTATTTGCAGAAAAATAGTTGCATCTCTCATATTGATTCGTGGAGAGATAGTCTCAACAATAAAGAGTTCTGATTGGTCAATGACAAGGTGCTAAGCGAGTGACTTTTTTGAATATCTTA